AAGGCAGAATTTCCGAGTTCTGAGTACAATCGAAAGCACCACGACTGCAGTTTTTGTGTTGGATGTAAAAGGCGCACATGACTCTGTGACGTAGGCTAGAATCATGGCAGCAGTCAATGACGGTCCAGGCGTGGGATTTCTCTCGTGGAAATATGCACATTATCTTTTCCTTTCTATTGGTAGGTGGCACAGTGCACTGTGGCAAGTAAGCAAGCTAGAAGACTGGCAAAGTTATGGAAGAAACACATTAACAAGAGAATTCTGAGTAAAACCAAAGTTACTTTCCCTAGTAACTAGTTACTTTGAAAGTAACGAGTAACTTGAAGTAACTGAGTTACTTTTGAGAGAAGTAACTAGTAATGTAACTAAGTTACTATTTTAAAGTAACTTACCCAACACTGTTCATCACAAACATTCAATTCAAGTCTAGCGAGTACAGTGCAGTGCCTCACTGGCTCACCATCCTTGTGTTGCGTTATCTTGCTGTTCTCGTTTGTATCCCTCCAAAGGAAAGGAGCAACCGAGTCACAGTCTCCCTCAATCCATCTCACAAAGGTATGCTATTATTTTTTCGTAACAGTAGTAAGTAGTAATTCACTGCAGAGTGTCATATTAAACGAGTATAATGAATGAGGAATGTTTTACTTTCATAAAAACATATTATCTGTGCGTATTATTAGAAAATCTGATTTTTTGATCAGATTTTTCTGTTAGATGAGGTCTGAAAGGTCATGCTTAACTTTTAAATTTATCATAGCATTTCACTGGCTGTTTATTTTTGACAGCACTATCAATGAACACCAGTGCCACCAACCTCTCGGACAATCAGAGCATCTACAGTGTTACACTTCCGAGACGGTTCTGGATGAACTGAGGAGATTAAGCAGAGATCTCACAGCCATCCGACTTCAGATGGACTAATGCTTTCAAGGGACCAAAGCTGCACAGGAGTGGGAGATGATTGGAACAGTGATCGATCGTCTGCTGTTTGGCTTGTACATCGTCTTTATCGTCACGAGCTTCATTACAATAATGAGCATCTGGATATGAAATAATTTGTTTGCAACATAATTAGGTGACAGAAAGATGAAAAAACAACATAAATGGCGTACTGTCGTGGTAATTGGCATGGATCACAAATAAATACAGTGCTATGGAAATGTATTTGACCCCTTCCAAATTTTTTATTTTTTGCGTGAACCTGCCCCTCCCTCCCATGTCCACCCACACCACACTATTCAGTTCAATTCAGTTTTATTTATACAGCGCCAAATCACAACAACAGTCACCTCAAGGTAGACCCTACAATAATACATACAGAGAAAAAACCAACAATCATATGACCCCTATGAGCAAGCACTTTGGCGACAGTGGGAAGGAAAAAGTCGCTTTTAACAGGAAGAAACCTCCAACAGAAACAGGCTCAGGGAGAGGCGGGGCCATCTGCTGCATTCGGCTGGGGTGAGAGATAGAAGATAGGACAAAAGACATGCTGTGGAAGAGAGCCAGAGATTAATAACAAGTATGACCCCCACCCCTACCTGATCTTCATCAGTACCAGCTTCCTCCTTTTGCCAGTGCTTTAGCTTTGTTTATCAAGTATCATAGGCTGTGTTGGAGTTGCAGTCAATACTGTTTTTGGTCCTGGTTGCTATTAGTTTTGTTTTCCTGGATTACGTTAGGGGAGATGCCGGAATTATGTGGCTGGGTCATGGTTTTCTTCATATTTTGTTTGTTTTAGCTGGCTCCCATCTCTTTTTGTTTCTGTCTGTCCTTTTGTGAGTTACTACATTCCCTTTATTGAAAGCTTGATGAATGGCAGCAGCGTTGTATCATCCCATATTTCAAGCACCTTTGAGCCACAGATTCAGGGACCGTAGCAGCATGTGTAAAAATCACTGCACATTTAAATGTTAACATTTTCTTACATACATTAAGTGTATTATTAAGATGAGGAATTGTTATGTACATTTCAGATCAGAGCTGCTTCAATTGCTTATTCTTAATTCTTGCTTTTCGGTGTGAATATTTACTAGGATCATACAAACCACACAGAGGACCTTGCTTATCACTCTCACACCCAACCGAGACATATCTCTCAGCCTCCCACGGCTGTTTTCATCAATCAGAATTGCACTGACATTACATGGCACAAAGTCAAACAGTGTCCTCTCTCTGGATGAATTGGCAGGAGAAGCTGCTAGATTAGATTGCATCTGAGGAATGCTAATTTTGCAGGAGTCTGGGTCTGGGGATGTCATGATTAAAGACTCAATTTCCCAGAGGTCAGTGTGGTGTGATCACATATTACCGCTAACTGATGGAGTGTCTCTGATGGTATGCCTGTCACAAGTGGCAGCATCAGCACCGGTGGAGGAGAGAGCAGGGTGTTTCTGTGGTGTTCAATATTCCTCTCACAGCTTGGAATTATATTCAGTCACAGATTTCTTAAGTAGCTGTGTTATTCTATCCATCTGCATATTTATTTATTTTTATTTATTTTGCCATAGTTTACCTAAAGTTCTAGAAGACGCTCTCTGCTTATCTCAGCATTGAAATACTGACTTTCAGCTTATCTTCTTATACCATGAAGCCCTGTCGTGCATTATCCCTACATGTGTCTCAGTGGAATGCATTTTAGAGCAGCAGGTTTTAATGCATTCATGCTGTGCATTGTTACTGAGTAATAGTGATGACACTAATGCAAACATATCGCGTTCGGACAAATTACAGACAGCTAGAAACAGAAATTTCAATTTCAGTATTTTAGTGTATTAAATACAAATGCTCCAAGCATATCTTCCTACAGCACCGACTGGGCAGCATGTGACTTTATTAGTTTCAGCTGGGTGCTGAGTCTGAAACTCACTTTATATGTAATCCATCATACTGACCATTTTCCTGCCCTTGTTTCTTGTCAGTTATTTTGCAATTATTATTTTGTAATACAGCTGAAAGCAGAAGCTATTTGCTTTCATTTAGTGGTGCAGTTTATGAAGCTTATGCATTCATGGTAAAAAGAAAACAGAGTGTCATGCTTATTTAACAAAAACTAAGTACAGCCTTAATGCTTCACTAGGAATTAAGGGGGTAATTATTAATTTAATGCAATATTGAGTTTTTTAAAATGTTATTGTTATTGTCAATATTGCCAATTTGCAACACTCTTAAACAGATTCATATTTGAGTAAAGGACCACAGATATCTGACTGAAAAGAGCGTGTATTAAAGCAGACATACTGGCAGAATTTGATCTCATTCTCATGATAGAGTTTTGTAATTACTGTCCCATAAAACTTATTCCATAACTGCATTATTAAATATTTCACAAATATAAAACTCGTTAATGGGTTGAAAACAATGTGTTATCAATCTATTAGAGAAACAATTTCATTGAGGAGCACTACAACTGGAAATAAAACTGCATCTTATAAAACAATTATATGGGAGTCTAAATATGGATCTAAAGGCACCAGGTGATTAGCTTAACCTAGCAATGACAATTTTAGGTAAACCCCCCAAAACAACAAGAAGATAAATATAAAAATTAAATTGTAAGCTTTACAGATGCTGGTAGTCTAATTCATCCTTGAAAAGAGCTTCTCTGGTAACACTATATTGACTATAAAACTAAATCCTCTTCATTTTTTTACTCAAGTACAAAAGTATTACTGGATTCATATACCAAAATAGCATTTTTAATGTGCCCATTGGTGATGTAGCATATTTTTAGTTGCATTGGTCCTCTTAATTTGTTTGGGGGAATTTAAAACAAATAATCTGATGTTGTCTTTTGTTTGAAAATTTAATTTGCAAAATTACAAGTCAGTAATAAACATATAATAACTATGGTGAAACTTGAACAAGTAAAAGAAAAAAAATACAATTTCAAAATGATAACACAGAAGTAAACAAGTCTATGCTGTTATCAATGTCTTCAGTTGCTCAACATCACTGGTTGAATATAAAACCAGCTTACAAGCCATTTTCCATTAAAAACTGTATTGCAATGGTCAGCTTTGAACTTTTTTCAGTTTTTCTGATGTATAAAAAGAATATTTGGCTGCTAAGAGTGAAGGTGTAGACAATGAGACAAAGCCAGTATCAACGAGATTAAAAAACAGAGTAAATAAAAGAAAGACACTGATTGACTAGCTTAAAATACCACCATACAAGATGTGTGAATCACATACAGTATTTGCCTCCTTACTGATTTCTTAGTTTTCTGCATATTTGTCACCGTTAAATGTTTCAGATCATTAAAGAAATGTTATAATTAGACAAAGAAAAATCAAGTAAAGCAGTTTTTCAATGATGATTTAATTTAGGGGGAAAAAGGTTATCCAGTCCTACCTGTCCCTGTGTGGAACTGCAATAACTGGCAATGTGTCTTTGGAGGCTTTACATGAACAGCCTGTTTAAGGTTAAAGTCTATTCTATTTATCTATTTGAATGTATTTAATAGTATTTCAAACCTTCATCTTGGTTTTTTTTTT